TTATACCCTTATCCCATGGCAAATGCAGGGTAAATTGAGGTAAGTAAGTGCTGCTTCACAGGAGRGGAGTAAATATCTCAGAGTGATTGTGGGGAAAGATTAGTGAAATGATACATACTAATCTTTGTGCGGTGGAGTTGCTGCGTCCCTTATTCTCCCCTTATCTCCACAGCTTGTTTACAGCATATACACCTTAACATGAACTATGGCAAGTATTCTTATCACACAGGACCAGTCTCCAGTGCTTTTTCGGGATGAAGGCACTGGTCCCACAGGCTTGACCACCCAAGGTCACCTAAACCAGCCTCAGTGCGGAGGCAGAGGGAGCTGGGGGAGTCCCAGGAGGTACCATGGGGCCCGAGCCCTCCTACCATCCCGCAGCAGGCAGGAAGGCTTCGTCTTCCTCAAAGTGGGGCTGCTGCCTCCCCGTAGGAAATGAGACTGGCTCTGGGAGAAGCCAAACTTATTTGGAGGAGGGGAGGAGAATGGTGGTGGTAGTGGTAAAATCATGATGTTCGGTTATTAGTTTTGCTTTTAACTAGATAAAACACTCTTGAGCAAATGACCTGAGGTTTCATTGAGAGTAACCTGTCTCATCAGTTCAGTTCTCTTCAGCATCTGCTTCTAATTCAGGTCAATTTCCAGTTAAAAGTTGATGTTACAGAAATTATATACATATATATATACACACATACATTTGCTTTTCTAGGAGTTTTTAGGACTAGCTGTTCTGTCAAAGAGGATTGCAATATGCTCTTGCATCACGACTTCAGATTATACCTTGGAGAGCTCGCTGAGAAGATCTGGGAGACTTTATCACAGTCAGTTAGTATACAACCTCATCTAAAAGAAAAAAAAAACATGTCTGGATGAGGAAAACTTACTTGTTTACCTGTTTAGGGAATTAGGACATTAATTAATATAAAATCTGCTATTTTACTGTCAGATTTTCCATGCAAAAATATTCCTGTTTGAGATGTAGTAAATTAATCCTTTTATACACAAGTTTCACCATTTGTTCTGATATTTTGAATTAGGAATACACATAAGGACAGTTGTTTTAGGAAACTCTAAGTCATGTTGCAAGATCACAGTCTGGACCCTCTTGCTTAGGCAAAATTGCCATTGTCGGAGTTGTCTAAAATAGAATAGTCAGCCTGGATGTTTACCTGTAATGAAGGTTATCCAGGTTAACGAATAAATAGGGAAGTAATAACTGTCTGGATACAGCCACACTGGCAGACAGGATCCTTACTTAATGAGAGCAAGGTTTTTTTTTAGGAGCAGTAGCAGAAATTCCAGAGGTGGAGACAGGATATTATTTTAATGTTTAATTCCTATCAAAGGTAGGAGTTTCATTTCCTTAGTCCCTCTCCGAAAAGTGTGTTTTCAAACAAAGGAATCATATTTATTTATCTAGAATCTGATATTCATATTAATAGCTGTTTCAAGGTGTGTCTAATTCCAGCCTCTGCATCTTCCATTTAAAATACATAAACATAACCTGATGTTTATATCCTCTTCTTCAGGTAAGAGCTGACATTTTGTCAGTAGAACTCCTTGTCTTCTAAATATAGCTTCTAAACTCAGTTTATTATTTATTATCTTTTTTTTTATGATGTGAAGGAATACTACGGATCAAACAGACTTTTCAAAAACTTCTGGCAGCCACACATTTGATATGCTGCAGTGTGTTGCCTAATAATRACAGGAAAAAAATTATGAAGCCATGGCTCAGATGCAACAACTTTATGGGTTATATCCATCCCATGGGACACAGTTTCCCTGCCCCTTGTTTAAACATCATAGTAATCAGGGATTTCTATTTTCAAAAGTGGATGGTCACATCGTATGTCCTTGTTATTTTGGTAAAGTGCTGAGATACGTCAAAGAACTATGTTTCCAAAAGTCAGATTCCCATTAAAATGTCACGGATTACACCCTTGAATAAGAAATGCCAATTACCATCTGTAAGTGTAATATTCAGGGCTCCTATAGAGCAAATCACCCATTCATTAAATATAGCCTCTACTTGCATATCCTTTCAGAGATTCTCCTCATCTAAGAAAAGCCACGTCCAAAAGTGAGTTTTACCTCGCATCTTGACATCTCTGCAAAAGTTGACTGAAGTGTCTCAATGTGGAAAAGATATCTGGGAAAGACCGAAGCAGTAGAAGTGCATGAAATATTTGGTAGGCACTTGCTTCTCACAGGGTATGAAGAGTTGCATCTCTGGCCAAATCTGCTCCCTTCAGCAATGGCTCTTCCAGGGGCAAAGACTGAGCCAAGTGAGTCATATTTCCTCCCTCAGAACAGAACCAAATGTGCACAGAATTAATACACCTGAAATCTGAATTCTTTCTCTTCCTCCCAACATCTTTCTGAATGGAAAGGAATTTAAACAGTAGGAACAAGTGCTAAGAAAATGCCTTGCCYTTTCCTATTCTGGTTATTTAAAGACTGTTGCAATAGTCCAACAGTCCAGGGTCACTCTGAACTGGAGAATTTGGGAAAGCATCTAAGCTTCAGGCTGCAGGTATATGCTCCAGGTAGCCTCCTTCCTGTTGTGATGCCAGGATGTCTRGAAAACATTCCCTGTGATCACAACTACAGAAAGTAACTCTAGGTTCCCACTGACCCTGGAAGTCATGCATTGCTCCGAGGTCATTGAGCAGGACAGTCACTGCAGTGCAGATTTTGTTCAGTTTGGAAGCAGGTTTCGTCGCTCAAAACTGTGCTGTGCTGTGGATGGGCTGAGTATTCAAAGGCTTCCTCTGCTACAATCATCAGAAACCAAACATACCAGAGAATCTGACACTGGATTCCTGAATGTCTTTCCAAAAAGTCCTTTTTGATGTTCTCAYTCACTTATGACAAGAGACAGGGACAAGATACTTTAAAATACTTCTAAGTAATTCTCTGGAGCCATCTCACACTAAAGCAATTGAGGTGCTCTACTCTTTAAGGATGTAGGCACTGTGAGAAGCACAGGATCCCCCCCCCCATCACAGCTGAGGTGGTGATGACAGATGGAAAGAAGGTACTGGGTGCTCTCTCTTGGGCAGCATATTCATTATTTGTGACTTTGGTTTTCATTCGGAGGCTTATACTGACATTTCAATGKCCAGAGGATGAGCGTTTTTTTACTGTGATGGTGACCTAGCCCTGGATCAGGCTGCCCAGGGAGGCTGTGGAGTCTCCTTCTCTGGAGATCTCCCAAAACCCGCCTGGATGCCGCCCTGTGTCCCGTGCTCTGGGTGTCCCTGCTGGAGCAGGGAGGTTGGACTAGATGATCTCTAGAGGCCCCTTCCAACCTCGGCCATTCTGTGATTCTGTGTGAACCTACAGCAGTGACAAGACTACCCTTTCCATTCAAGCCACATGCAGAGAAAGAACTCAAGTTTGCCAAAATGATGCAAGTTCTTGTGTTTTTAAGGAAAAAAAAAAAAGAAAAAAGTTATATTAATATGATCCTTCAAGCCTCCCTCAAACATAAAGTAAGGTAAGCATGAAGGTGTCAGCCCACTTTGAGGTAGATGTTTCCAAGAGAACACCAAGAGCATGGCCCATGATGGAATTTCATTCCCAGTACCTTTGAAAGTGCTGGGTGAAGAGCTGGTGTCCCCGCTGTGCCAGCAGGCCCCRCACAGCGCCACAGGAGAGCTCTGCTCGGACACCCCCTGCTGCAGCGAGGCCATAAAACCAACATCAGGCTTTTCTTGAGCCTRCTGCACGTGAACGTGCCCCATTCACCGCCTTTCGGAGCATGGTCCCTGGCTGATGTGTTGGCTTACGACACGGAAGAAAACCAAGGCATACCAGGAACTGATGCTCCTCCATGAGACTTTTGTTTGCTGTGGGAAGTTCATAGACCAGGTACTTGGTGTTACAGCAGCGGATGTGATTTTTAYAGTCATATTCAAGGCCCTTAGAACCATGTCTGTACAATTTGTGAGCTGTTCAGGACAGCACCTGTCCCTGAGCAACAATATACATATATATATATATATACACATATATATATATATAAATATACACACACACACAAACAGATCTCTGACTCTGGTTACCTCCTGAGGGCTCTGCTTCAGTATAAGAGATAACCACGACTTCCTCTCAGGAGTAAATGACCCTTTAGTGGGTCATTTACACAGGTACAAACAATGTTATGTCATTTACAGGGGAAGCTAATGCCCCCTTAGTGTACCTCACTGTGCCCCAAGGGCTCTGCACAAAAGGCAGAAATACAGACTAGTCCTAGGCAGGACATTAAGAGCATTAGGCTCCCACTCGCTCTGTGCCAGTGTAAAGGGCTATTCAGTATGAAAGGCAAGTTGGTTYCCTTCCTCTAAACAAATTCCTGGAAGCAGGCCCACGGTTTTTCACTCCTCACTGGGATGAAACTGTTTTTCTGTTTGTTTTTGAGCTGGGATTAAAAAATAAKGCCGAATCCTGATCCTAGTTATTTCCTTAAACATAAAAATTGTGTCTCCATAATATCGATTTTTTAATTCTTGAGAAAAAATAAAATAAAATGATTGTCTGTTTTTCAGGAGTGTTGTAAGGAAAGAAGATAAAGATCTGCAGAACTTTTAAAGACCTGCAGTAAGATTTATTCAGAGAGTGTGTTTCACTTTAAAGGGAAAAGACTAAACTGATTTTATATCAGCAACAACAACAACCCCCACCACCCTAGAGAAAACAAGCGCACAAATACTTTACTCCTTTCATAAATAATGTATTTTATTGCATATGGCTATTAAGGAGAGCATCCATGATCAATACAGACTAAATACAATACACTACTCTAGTTCCATTTATTCTGGTCTCCAGCAGCATCACATTTATCCTTATATACAGCGTGTACATTGGAAGACACAGCAAGATAAGTTAAGTCTCTTGTCATATCACAATAGCAAGAAATATATTTAACATCTTGATATCCAGAAACAATACGTACCCATAAAGAAAACACTGCTTAATAACTGGTTATATAGCAAAAAAATATTTTAAATTTAAGGTAAGTCAGGCAAAATGTACAAAGACCCAATATACATTGTGAAGTTTTAGCAAACATAACATTTATACATTTTGGTTCCATTCTGTAAACTAAATTAAGAATGTAAGTATTGCATATGCCTTTGTGAAATATACAGGATAGAGAAGAATTGACTACATAGCCAAGTCTTTGTTTTGAAGTTGCTGTATGCATAAGAGCCGTTTCTTTGAGTGGCATGATTCCATAATTGGTACAGAGGGCTACTTCAAAAGAGAAGTTAAAACGTTGTCTTCAGCAGGTACCACGTTCAGTGCTACTGTGTGTGTGTGTGTGTGTGCCAAAGGGGAGAGGAGGGCTGGCAAAAAATGTCACCAACTGTATTTGTTTTTCTAGTTCCAGAACTGAATAAGCAGCATCTTAGAATGTTTTTAGAACCTTTTATAGTGCCATTAAAAAAAATCCCAAAGCCCAAACAGATAAATTAGATATTTAAATTGATTTTTAGATTTAATATTATACAGCCTATGCATTGCTGTGATTTAAAACCCCAGAAAATTACACTGAAAAATAGGGTGTGCCATGGGGTAGGGAAGGAGTTACTTTACATTCATCTTTGTCTTGTAATACAATCCTTAGTTCTAAAAAATCAGCATGTAAGCAGGAAGACTGCATTGCCATTCATTACATTTGTAAGACATGGACTCTTGTCTTCCTCGTAGAAAATAAACATAAAATCCCAAAAGATAATGCATTGTTAAGAGTGATGTACAGGTTCCACCTAGCACAAGGATTTAAAACCAAGGAAAACCCTCACGTAACCCAGATAACCTAGAAATACTTACATGACTATCAGAGCAGGCACTGGGGAGGTACCCTTAAAATGTATGTGAACTCTTCAACAAATTTACCAGAGGAGAAACTAGGTGGCCTGGCATTCTGCTAGCCCGGTGCAACAGTTGTACGTGACATTTGTGAAAACAGTCGCCACATGGGCTGTATTTTCAGAATACAGGAAACGTGATACACGGGTAGTCTTGAAGACAACTCTGTGTAAGCGACTGCAACGTTTCTTCTTTTCCCTGTAATAACAACGCCTGTAGCTGCAGTGCTGCTTTTCTGGGAGAAGGCAAGTATCAGGACTTTCTAGATGGCAAGATAATACTGTGCTAACACTAGYGCTTCGATCTGTCCAGTACCCATTATCATCCCTGCATTCCTAGCATGCCTGTGTGGATTTTTGGTTAGAAGAAATGCAGCTAAGGACAGGGTGAGCTGACAAAAGTGAGCCTGTAAATAGGAGAAAAGGCTTTTGCAATCTCAAGTACCTACATAAACACCTACATAGAGAGGATAAAACAAGTGTGTCAAAGGTAGAGAGAGATACCCCCAATACAGTTTGATATTTTTAACTTACGTTGCTTAAGTTACACATTTTAACTCTACTTAAACCCTCGCCCCAGGTCCGATGCACGGAGTTTTGTCTTGTATTAGACTCTTTAGCGCCCGCGTCTTTAGGCTTCGTCTGATCAGTAAACACTGCAGCCCGGGGCCGAGAGGCGCCCGGCAGCGGTACCGGAGCGGTACGAGTTCCGTAAGGCCGATGACTGTTCTTGAGAGAAACTCAGCACAGAGATACAGGAGGTCCTGTCGCACGCCGACACTGCAAATCCGGCTTTGCTTTGAACTGAGGTAGCACTGTGATAGGCTTGAAATCACGCCAGTAAATACCAGATTTCGCCGCTTTAGCGGGTGTTACAGAATCTCCTAATATGCCGAAGAATAAATACAGTTTGTCTTTGCAGAAATAGGAAATGAAGGCATTGGCCTGTGGGTAAAGAGGCCGGCAGAAAAGTCCCAACTAGCTAAAGAGCATCCTGAACTTCTGTCAAAACAGCAGCAAAATGGTATTGTAGATGYCAATGACAGGTAATGAGTTAGGCAGGTTGCTTTCCCTTCCTTGCAGATTTGTTGTACAGTTTAGCCCACAACAGTCTGAAAGTTAGGTAACTGTCCGGAGCAACGGTAACAACAGCAAAAGTAAACCTTAAGCAGCTTCAGTTAAAAAAACAAAAACAATGCCGAGCAGCTTCTTTGAATGTTGTACTCTGTTGTTTGAGGTCATGGTGATAAAACTAACTCCTTCACTCTGAAAAGAAAAACGAAAGAAAGTCAATAAAAGCTGTAACAAAATCTTACTGAAGACATAAATAATGCAAAAATATCATAAAGAATTTATTCAGACGGGATTTCGTGAAAAGTCTATGGAGTAACTGCTTTCATGTTTGCATACATCATAAGCTCTGCAACGGGAATAAAAGGCGTTCTTCCCAGTCGAACAGTGCCTCATTTCTAGAGGACTTTCTGGCTGCCGTCCTTCAAGTTAGCAAGACAGAGGAGAAAGAATCAGTCAGGAAACCTAACTCCCCACCCCAAGCTCAAGCTGTGACCCTCATTCATTTTTATCAAGAGCAGGGAAAAAAGACATCGCAGAAAGCAGGTACCGACTCAACTCTYCTTCTGCCTCGGGGTTATCACACACTGCCCATCTCCAGACATCACAAACACGAGTTTCTTCAAATTGCTCACATACCTGCCTTTTTATTTTATGGAATAATAAGATTCTAGCAAATCAGATAACTATATTAGCAGCTTGTACCTTATACACCCTGTTTATATATACATATATATTTTTTTGAAGAATCTTTCCCTCAGTACAAAACAAACAGAAGGAATTATCTCTAGGTTATGGTCTATAAAGCTGCTTTAGAAAGTCAAGGTGAATTATACACTTGATTATAAAGCAACCTATCCTATTTTAAAGAACCCATCTGAGTCACTTGGTATTTTTTCATTGCAAGGAATTAATGGAAATTGTGTGCCACTGCCSTAACGCAACATGATTGGATTGGACACTAAGATGATTCGTTAACATGATCATTAAAAATCAGTTTTTCTTTAGCACTTTGCTCATTATATAGAACTTTCCAGTGTGCTGTAATATTTAAAAAACAGAAATGCATAAACAACAGTGATGAAAGCACTCAAGAGCCTGTAAAATTTAAAAACACTAACACCTCATTTTGAAAGGTGCCAATGAAGTGTCATATCCCGATACAACCCCAGCTGCAACATTACACTGATGTTGTATCTATACCATTTGATAAACCAATACCAAGGAATTTGTTCAAAACTACACAAAATCAGAAGCTGACATGTCTTGGCATGTATATGAGAATTACTAAATTGCTATTGAACCACAAAAGCCAAAGGTTTGCTTAATGAATATGTCCTGTCAAATTCAATTGGATCTGCTATATGATCAGTTTATTGAGATGTTACTTAGGATTTGGTTTCATGATACAGTTTAAGATGACTTTAATAGCTTGCCAAGACCAGAAAAATATCTCACTGTCCCCACTCACCTCATTCCCTCTTTCCTATTCCTTGCTATTTATTTAGTGCCACTTTTCAGGTCAGACAGTAAGACAATTCTACCCTTTCAAACTTTTAAAAATACTTTCGTTGTTTTGTTTTTCAGTTTAAGAACTTGATTGGCTTGTGATACAACCAATAGACCCCCTAAGCTGGCAGCTGGACAGAAGGGGAAGATGCATAGAGGAGGARGAAGGAGCTGATGGAGTATTAGGAAAGCCAGGGCAGCAGGAGCAGGATCTGGAAAGGATGCCTGGTGAGCCGTAAATCCAGCTGCTGAGACTGCTGATGATCCTGTAACACGAAACTACGTCCGCAAAGTGTTTTGTAAACTGCAAATCTGTAGTTTGGAATCAAAAGAAAATTACTGCCTTCACAGAGAGCATCATCCAGCACAACTGTGTGGGGAACAAGTGGAAATATGGACGGCTCTCAGAAGGAACAGAGGTGCCTCTTTTGGAGGAAAACTGCCTAACAAGCCATGCTCTTCAGGGAGCAGGATGTGCATGTGTTTTATGTGGGCAAACAAGCAAGTGAGGGAGGATACATCTGGATTTCTTGTTATTGTTTTTCTATTCCCAATGGAAGTCAACCTGCTGACTGAATTTATGTTACCACTCCATCAAAGAGTTCATGTGATAGTGGAAAGCCAAATATACCAAATATAGATTAAAAAAAAAAAAATCCTGTGCTCAAATGGAAAAAATACAGAAAGAGATTTTGTTCATGCAGAGAACACAAACATTTACTCTCAAGAATGCTCAGCAAGCAYGGTCCTTAGCGAGGCTGATTAGCACTTGAGTCATTTTGCTGTTACCCTGATTGCCTAACAGGTGCTTTCCAGACAGAAATAAACAGGAGAAGGTGAAATGGTCCCTGCTTCAAAGCACTTCCACACCCAGACCTCACAGTTCTGTAGGTGGATGGTAGGAACTGTGAACCTAAGCCTAAGAGCTTAGGACAGCCCTAYGATGAACTCAAAGTTGGTGATACAGCTACCATCTAAAACAGATAATACCCGTGTCAGCTTCACAGGAAGCCTACTCTTAAGAAATAAATAGCAAGTTTTAGGTTGAAGTAAGACAATTTATGTCAATATCACTGCTAATTTTTACTTCAGCCCCTAGTGTCTTTGATATTAATGGCTACTAACAGTCTAACATCACTAACATCTAAGACCTATCTCATGTCAACATTTCACTTATTATTGATGACTATAACCCAAGCAAGGATATGTTTTTACTACATGGTGGGGAAAAAAAAATCATATGGGACACGAACACACATTTTGACAGCAGCACTCCCAGAGGCACAGGCAGATTAAAATACAAAACAGAACACTGTCTCAATGCACAAGTTTTCTCTAAATATTTTTGGTTATGATTAAGAAAGCATTCATCATTAGTGCTGAATTTCCAAGATGACGCAAAGTCCTTTGATCCCACAAATGCRTCCTGTGGAACATGGCACAGAACAAGCACACAGAAAAATTGCTAAAAAGCTACTAAACACTCAACAATTGTTAAACATACTGTGAAGAGAACACAATAGTTGGTCAATTAAAGACGATTCAGCCTGCTTATTAATCTTCAAAGTCAGTAAGCAACGAACAAGAGTTTTCCTGATTCCAAAAGACAACTCTCCCGTGCTGACAAGCAGGCCAACAGGAGCAGCCACTCATGCGGCCCACRGCAGAGCAGGCTGCGGGTCATCCACATCCTGCAGGTTTATCCCGCGGGGAAGCACGAACAAAGCGCTGTGCTCCGCACACCCGGCTCTGCTCCTGCTGGTGTCTCCATCCCACCGCTTCCCTCCCTACGCCGCCTGCCAGATCCATTAGGGCTCTGATCCTGCTAACTAACTTTTCCGGGAAGAGCAATCCCATTGATATCACCCGCACTGAAGGTGACGAGCACCTCCGTTTGCGGGCTTAGAGCCAGCTGGACACCAGAGCCCGGGCGAGCGGATGGGGCCTGTGGGGACCACCCTKGTGGGGCGCCCGGAGGCCGAGCGCGGCCCCACGCGGCACCAGGGCCACCACAGGCCTCCCGCCTGTTGGCGTGTCGCCTTGTGGCTGCCCGCCCGTGCTGCGGGCACAGGCGCCCGCGGGGATTAGGCCGCTGCCCCTCGGCGACACTGCCCTGCGTGCCAGGAAGGGCCAGCGCCAGGCGGGAGYGAGCAGGGAGGCGGCGCGGGACGCGAGGCCCCGCGCGGAGGCCGGGCGCCCACGCGGCAGCGCGAGCGGCCTCAGCCGCACAGCGCGGCCTCCCTCGCGCGCGGGCAGGCTCCTTGTGCGGGCGCCGTCCGCAGCGGGAGACACCGGGAAACGCGCACGGAGCGGCTCCCAAGGCGCAGCCCGGCCCTCCTGCGCAACAGGAGCCAAATCCTCGCCTGGCTCTGACCACCGCTAGGCAAYTTAATGGATAATGTACTTAGCGTTAAGCACACAGGTAGTGCTGCTGAGGGAAACAGAGCGACTCGCGCGCCTCGCTCCAGGGCTTCCCGGTAATGCCAGGGAACGTGAATCCCCTTCCGTTAATCATCCCAATTACGGCCATCGTCGCAGGTGAAGCGATGCCCCAGCAACACTTCCCAGCGGAACCACAACGCAGGACACTCCAGGAGTTTACCAGGCCCACGAATAACACCAATCCAAAACAAAACGCCTCCAGGATCGGTGGGAGAAACAAGCTAAACCGTGATATTAGGAAGACACGTTGTTTTGTTTTGTTTTTGTTTTTCAAAACAAGTCATGGTTAGTCAGACTTTGAGACACGCTGCCACTATCTAACTGTGCTCTTTCGGCTTGTTGTTCCCCTAGGAAAGGGAACAGAATGTTACTTGGAAGTTGTTGTTGTTGTTCTATCAGTTTTGGAGTGGGTACCAGGTCAATACAGGTTCTTTAACTACTCAGTTTCCCCGAAGGAGCAAAGCAGGGATGTTATGGACACTGTTCCTTACATTAAGATGGGCTTTATAGCATTTTGATCAAATAGCTAAAATCGTCAGATGCACCAAATTGCATTAATATAAAGAAGGAGAAAGATATTATCTTCTCAAGTGGGAAACAAACCACCAGATCATCCAAACAAGATGCTGCGTGTCAGCACTTACAACTACATTATTCTTTCTTTCCCAGCTCACACATGGGAGAATAAAATGTTCATCTGATGGTGCAGACAAATTCCCACAATTCTTGATGAGCGTCATGTTTTGCTCAAAGATACTAAAATATTTTATTTTTTTTATATTTTTTATATTTTTTATATTTTTAATACTATATATTTGCACGCGTGCCGTAATTATTTTCACTGTCACCTTTCACTAGACTATAAGGAACTGAGTCTACCACAGACGCACACACGACAATGAGGGCTTTGCTTACTTGATTTCAGAATTTGATATAATTTGCGTTTCAATACCATTTTGTCAAGGCTCTCATAGATATTGTAGTATGAATAACTAAACATTAAAATCGAATTATGTGGAAAAGAAAGGATTAAATTTACAAATGTCATTACAATGAATTTATGACAAAAGTGCTGGCCCAGAAATGCATTTCCCATATCAATTATAACAAAAACAGGCATATGAAATTTGAAATTAAGAAACTAGACATGCTCATTTTTCCAGGTTAAATTAATACATTTGCTATTGTACCTCAACTTCAGAGCTGTAGTTATTGTATACCATTAAACAAGTTTGTATAGATGT